CTTACTCCTCTTGACAAATGGAGGAAAAAAAAAAAAAAAAAAAAATCACAGATGTAAAAACTGTGGAGAAAACTGGAAAGTTTGACAGAAAAATTCACTTGAAAAAACCTCCTCCACCTTTTGGGAAGCTTAAAGTAGTGTGAGATACTGAATGGCAAATTACTTGTGCTACAAGTGAAAGGATACATCGTGAAATATTTAAAAATATATATATTTACTTCTATATTTGGTGGGTTGTGATACACCTACTGCTGCTGGCACAAGCGCAAAGATTTAAAAAGGAACTTTTGTACGTTTTGGGAAATAAGCTTATCCGCTTTCTTGCCAAGAGTTAGATAAGAAGATTACACCACTCTCATGTCTGTACGGTAAATACGAAGCTGCAGCCAGCAGCCAGCTGTCCTGGATGGTTCCCATAGAAAAGCTCAGGATAGCGGCTGTGCGCTGATTTTTAGAGGCGGTGGGAAAAAGACATTTGACAAACCAATCACTGAGTAGTCATCCTTTTTTATTTATTTTTTCCTGAACTGAAAAATAAGTGTTTGAAAACACTTGTAACAAAATATAAATTTGTGTTGTTGAGTTGGGTTCAAGTGAGGTGAAGACACATTAATGGTGTTGGCAGTGTTTTCAAAGATTTTTTTTATTTTTTACTTAAACATTAGAAAATACTATGATAAAGAAGTGATTGATTTGGCAAGTGTGGAATCTTGTCAACCCCCCCCCCCCCCCCCTTGAAGTGCACACTGACTTCCTTCAGCTTTTCCATGGGAACCATCCAGGAAAAGTCCTGTACGGGCCAGCACCCGGTCCAGAGGTGACAACACCCACCTGTCCGCAGCCCTGAAGTTCCCTGATTAACAGTTTATCTTGTTTGTTCAATCCCTACAAAGAATTCTCCAAATTATCATTTTTTGACCAGTTGCCAGGTAACCAGTGGAGTATACGTTGGGTTGCCTGGAAACCAGTACCAGTCCGGGACAACAAATTGTTCGCCACACTTGCTTGCATCTTACACTTGTTTTGTACAGATGAAACAAAGGAGATATCATGTGTTCAGCAGGGAGCTTTAGGTGTGCTGGTAGGGGGGGGGTTGTCACCTTTAAACGGAGAGAAGCTGGTTGTAGCTTCATGTTAGCATACATACATGTTAGCATACATACAGAGGAGTGGCATCAGTCTTCAAAAGCGAATAACTGCAATTCCCAAAATGAGAATTATTTGTTTTAAAATGTGGTTTTAAATGGATTGAAGCCAAAGGGTTTAAGTGGTTTTCCACATCACTCCCGCTCTGTCCCTTCCCTCCATCGTTTACATTAGATCCACTCACACCTCCGCTCCTATGATCCATCCATCCGTCATGTCTGACTGTTTACCGGGCAGGACCTCCAGAGCCGACCCCCGAGGAGCGCCGAGATCAGCAGGACGCCGAGCAGTCCGCACACCACGACCTGTGCTGGTGTTTACATGTGAATGTTATCAATTAGGGCTCTGCGGTTCTATTACATCAACCAACATCATTGATTTACATTTGTTAAAAATGTTTGTACAAGGGTTTTTATTTGCTCCAAAATATCCACCTACTGACTGATTGTATGTGAACAGCTTTCCAAAGCGTTTCTTTCTTTTTCACCGTTTTCTCAGTCCTGTTGCCAATTTGATAAACCTGCTACAGAACAAGACACCCCCCCCTCCCCCCACAGGCACCGTTTTCATGAGTCAAACTCAAAAATAATAATTAAAGAAGCTCAGTCACCTTCTAAGAGCAGCTGTGATTTAACTGATGGAAGATCTACGGGGGTTTGGCAAAGGAAAAACTTCCAATCAAAAATGTGAAAAATATTATTATATGGGTTGTTTACGGCCCAGTGCTGCTTTGTACAATTTGATTTGTATTGTTTTTTTGTTTTTGTTTTCTGTATGTTGCGTTGTACAGGCTGTTACATAACAAATCATATCTTCCTGATTTATAAAAAATAAAAATAAACTGACAGACAGTATGCACAGAAAGATGGTTCAAAGTTGTTGGTTTTTTTTTAAGGGGGGGGGGGGGGTAAAACAAAAAGATGCCATGAAGAAAAGACAACCTACTGGTGCTTTTGGTTCCTTTTTTTTTCACAGTTTATTTAGAGTAGGAAAGAAAAGTCCGGTCACTGACATGTTATTGCAGTGTTGCATACTTTCTCAATCACACCTTTTTCAAAATGCTGTAGACTAATTACTCATTAAGGCCAATAGTGGGTTTTTTCATAGCTTTTTACAGAGATAGTGGCTGCTTCTGGGGCAGCTCTGTCCTGCCACGTAAGAACGGACACACATGAAGAAATTTAAAAATGCAGAGACTCAGCCGAGAGTTCAACAACTAAAAATAGACAAATTACTAGTCTGCTGTCCCACAAACATATGTAATGATGCCGTACTTGTAGCTAAGTACAGCAGCGTACCACTAACAGACAGTGATCTGCTGGATGATCCTGTTGGGTTGCATAGTCGGTTTAGTTTACTAATCCGTTGTCAGCTGTAAAGACACACTTCTGCACCAGCTTTGACTTTTAAGTTGGACCCTGAGTTTTCTTTTTGTTTTAATGTCCGCTGACTTCGAGCTGTTCACTCTGACCCTGAGCTCTTCCTGGCCCTTAAGATTCATTTCAAAATTTCAAATAAATCAACACTTTGGGAAAACACGCTTATTTCGCTTTTCCACAACTTTAGATGACAAGATGGATACAACGGTCATGTCTGTGTGAGGCTGGAGCCAGGAGGCAGTTATCCTAGCTTAGCATAAAGACTGGAAACATTGGGGAAACAGCTAGCCTGGCTCTGTCCAAAGTGGAAAAAATGTGCTTGCCAACACCTATAAAATCACACTTGTATATATATATATATACAAATAAGGGTGACAGTAATAATGAAATTAAATGATTGATGATGACTCATACAAGTGTCCACAATCCTAATTTAACTGCTTACAATAGAGTAGTCTCTACTTGTAATAGTTGTTCTCACCAAGAAAAAGTTGCAGCATAACTTCCTGTAAAACCGAAGATTGTAGCTACTTCATGTCTGTTTTTATACAGATTAAACAAGCCAGATACAATGTGGTAATTGGTGAGTTTTAGTATTTTCTCCATTCTTTCCGCCTGCGTTCAGTCTTTATGCTGAGCTAGGTTAATGGCCTCCTCACTCTAACTCCACTTTTAACACACAGACATCAGAGTTGCATCGATCTTCTCATCGATTTGTGAGAGAGAACGCCAATAAGCACGTTTCCCCAAAATGTTCAACTATGCCTTTAAGACTCCAGGGGGTGAAGCTTGGATTCGTCGAATTGAAATCTGGGTTAACAGTGACGTTTAGCAACAGGACACGTGTCGTTTTAAGTCTCAGAACTGGACAAAAGAATAAGGGGCAACAAAGGTGTTTGCTAAAAAATATCACAAAATACACGTGAAGCACTTGTACGAGAGGAAACCAAATTGCAGCTGTTGATAGTTCAGTTAGTTTTTTTTTGTTTTTTGTTTTTTTTTGGGGGGGGGGGGGGGGGGGGGGGGGGGGGGGGTCAGATCTTAAGCAGCATTGTGAGCAAGTTGACAGGAATTATCAAGTGTTAATGACGAGCTGAGAGGGTTAAAAACCTCCAGGTGAGCTCTGAGAACAGCTCCGAGAAGAGAGACAAACGGACAAAGACGATGTAAAAGTTTGGTTCAGCTTCATTCAAATATACATCTTAACTTCCACACGCACACACATACATACATACATACATACATACATACATACAGTCTTCCAAATATGCCAGAAACCAACAACAACAAAAATCCCACAGTTTAAAAAAATAGCCAAAAGTTCTTTGTACACTTACACATAACAAGTGGTAACATGATCCAAAACCCTGACGTACAACATTCACTCCCAAACTTAAGGTTGTAAGCATCAAAGCTACAGTGAGTGCTTTCATAAAAAAAACAAAACAAAAAAAAAAACGCATGATCACAGTAGTTCAAATAAAATGGCTCCTTTTTGAATAAATAAACAGTTGTGACAAAACGACCTTCATTACAAACAATCGGCGCAGGACTTCAACATCTTTAGATTCGTCGGGATTTAAAAAAAGAAAGAACCTCCAGAAAGTCGACTACAGCAGCTGTTTTTGCTCCCAGCTCTGAAAGAAATAAAAAGGGGAACTACAAACACTTTGTGTGGGTGAATAACCTCTCCTGAACCCACCAACACACACACACACACGCACACACACACACACACACACACAGAGACGCACACATACAGCTCATTGCCTCACCTGCTGCACCACATTAAAAGGTGAGCCAACAAGAAACCCCCTTGTTAAAAAAAAAAGAAAAAAAAAGAAAAATTAAATAAAACAGAGGAAAAGAACCTTAAAAGATGCGGTTGTTTACAAACTCTTCTTGCACAGTAAAACACAGACTGCCCTCTTTTTTTTTTTTTTTTTCTTTTTCTTTTTTAAGCTTAAAAATCCAAGAATGTGCTGTTGTGACTTGGATGCACCATCACCACCTGGTGGCTGAGGATATTTCCCCAGTTGCCCCTCTGACTCCGCTTCCCTGACTCAGCAGACTCTGAAGAGGTGAAACATTTTCTAATGTACTCCAGCGAGCTGACAGTTTGCTTCTGTGGGGAGAGTTTGGCAGTCGGAGGTGAAAAAAAGTTGGGACTGTTTTTGTTTTTTGTTTTTTTTTTTTTAAATGTTTCAGTGAGACCGGCAGGGGGTGGTGCAACCCGAGAGGCAGAGCGGGACAGCGAAACTATGAAGGGAGCAATCAATGTTCTTTTCGTTTTTCTTTTTTGTTTTCCTTCTCAAGGAGAAAGAGGAGGTGGAGGTACTAAGAAGAGAGACAGATGAGGACAAAAGAAGGGATAGTTCTCCCAGAATTCATTGTGGCTGGTTGTGGGAGGTCGGTACAGGGGTTTTTTTTTTTTTTTACAGAGAAAGAGAGACAAAGGGAGGTCACTAAGGAGGAGGAGGAGGAGGAGGAAGGAAGGCGAGCAGCAATTTGATTAGAGATTTGTTTTGTCTCTCATCATCTACTTTACAGAGGGATTTTTTTTTTGTTTCGTTTTCCTCCAGAAGAGCGGCTTCAGAACTTCTTCGGCCCCCAGGCTGACGCTTGTTTCGGGGCCACGCCCGTCCCAAACGTAGGGAAGTCCTCCGCACTGCTCATGTCAGGAGCCTGGAACGAACCCACACAAAGAGCTTGATATAGTACAAAACTGACATGGACGCAAGGCGAGGCACTGACTGTACAACATACGATCGACTTCATCAATCTACATTTAAGATGACATCTCTGTCTGCGGCTCCTCCTACACACTCCTGACGTACACCTGCGTCATATTCAAGGTAAATAAAAATCCACACGGCCCACCTTGTTCCCTGCTGCGTTCCAGGGGGCGTCCCGCACCACAAAGCCCTTAGCCGGACCCCCGCTGCTATCATCCACGCCTCCTGCGCCCCCTCCCCCTCCGTAGCGAGACGGAGGCTTCATGTACGCCGCCAAGGTCTCCGTCTCTGTCACACTGAGCAACTGAGAGGTGAAGACAGGAGAGAAGAAAAACGGCTCTTAAACAACAGCCTCCCTTTGCTCTGCCCTGCTGTTACTGAGGGGGGTTTTTGTGTGTGTGTGTATTTGTATTTAATGCATCCTTGGCTGTGTGAACTCACATATTCCTCCTCCAAGTTGAGCAGGTGGTCGATGGCGTTGTCGACGGTCTCGGGAAGGCCCGTCACAGTCACTTTGTCAGGCTCGTCAGAACCTGGCTGAGGGAACCGGATATCCACCTGAAAACGTAAAGAAGAGGAGAACATGGTTATGATAAAGTGGAAAACCACAACGTACGAAACCGAATCAGAACTTCTCTCCTCCGTGTTCAGAGTAAAAGATCAAACGATGAGCCGTCGCGTAACAACCAACGTCTAACCTTGAACTCCTCCATCAGCTTGCGGATGGCTTTGCCGCGGGCTCCGATGATGCGAGCGTGGGTCCTCGGGTCCAGGTGAACGTCTTGGCTCACCATCTCCTGCAACTCGGCCACCAGCTGCTGGATGGACTGACGCGCCTCCTCCACGTTACGCTCGTACCCCGAGATCACGATCAGATCCTGGGAGCGGAGAACGAGGATAGAGGAGGGAAAACACACAGAACCGGGGAGAAATACGTGTGACATGCAAATAGAGGGAAAGAAAGGAGGAACCATTGAGATTAGGAGCTCAAGGTACGTCAGCTGCATGACACACACCTGCTGCTCGTCTCCTTTGTCGGGGAACTGGATGCTGACGTCGTGGTCTTTTCTGATCTGAGAGATGACTGCTCCCTTGCGGCCGATGATCTTGGGATGAAACTTTGGATCCACGGACATGGTGACCTTGAAGCTGCGCAGGGCCTGGGAGGACACGGAGCAAGCAAGCTTCATCTCAAACACTGAAATACGTTCACAGTATCCCGGCGTCACATTTCATATGACCTGTGCAGTTACAATTAGAAGGTTTTGATGTGAAAGAATAAGCACCTCCGCTGCTACCGCTGAGACCGTATCTGCTGACATAACAGGTCAGTAAGAGGGAGCAAAAAAACTGCTGTTGATGACTGTGTAAGAGGTTTTCTAAAAGGGGGGGGGGGGGGGGGGTTTACCCTGTCCTCCTGCTCGGCCTGCAGTTCTTTGACCCTCTCCAGCAGACCCTGTTTGGCTCGCTCCACGTTGGCCGCCAGACCCGTCACCTTGATCACATCCAGCTGCTTCTCGGGCTGCGGCACCCAGATGTTCACCTGCAACAAAACGAACAATCAGTTACAGATCACTTACATTTTCCTCCATTCTGAGGAAATCCCCCTCACTTACACTCCAGCTCTGCATCAATATTACCGATTAAAAGTTTCCCCAATAGCTGAGCGTGTTAATCACAGCTTTTTCTTGTTACATCACTGACGCAGGCCTTTGGACCTGCGGTGTGAAATGTCTCTCGGCCAGACGGTGGCACCAGAGAGTCAAGCTAACCTCGTACTCCTCCATCATCTTCCTGATGCCACTGCCCTTCTGGCCGATGATGTAGCGATGCAGCTCGTAAGACACTTCCACGTCCTCCGTTATGGGCACCAACGCCTGAAGTAGGAGGCAGAGACGTGATTATTGGTGGCAGTGGGAAAAAAAAAAAAAGACAAGATGGCATCACATCTGTAACTGAAGGAAAAAAAAACATGGTGCCTACCAGCAAGGCGGCTTTAGCCATCTCACACTTTTCTGCCCTCCCAGAGATGGTGATGATGTCATTCTTGCGGGGGACAAACTCCGCCTCTGGACTGACCTCACCGTTCTCCTGTGGAGGCTCCTGACCTGGAATTTTACAATGAAAAATGGACTAAAAGACTTTCTTTGGCTTGTATGTTTCCCATGTAAAAACATAACTGCTGCATCTACATTAATGGCTAAACGTTTTTCTGTTGTCTTTGTGGTGCTGTTTCGGTATCACAGCTGCAGGTACACTTCTTTCGTGTGTTATGTTTCTGACCTGCGGCGCTGTCGTCTCTCTCGGGGAACTTGATTTGAACCTCGTGCTCCCTGGTGATGTGCTGGATGCGGCAGCCTTTAGGCCCCATGATGGCGCGGTGGCAGCGCTGAGGGATGGCCACCTCCACGCTCACCTGGGACTCCTGCTCGAGAGAGGGGAGGAAGAGAGGAGACAGCTGGGTAACAACGGCAAACACAGATTGTGTGCAGGAGGATTGTTCCCATCACTTCTGGTAAAATCTCTGAGCAAAACATGAGGCCACAACATCATTTGGTTACCGTGGCAACCAAGTAGCTTCACTAAATTGATGTGCAAGTATTTTGCAAACAATCAAAAATGATAATACTCAGCAAAAACACACTTTCAATGGCACAAATATGTAATTTTTTATTTTCTGGAATGTCTCACCAGGTCCTCGATGATCTCCTGGATGCGTTTCTTCGCAGCCTCCACGCAGTCCTTGGCTCCCTTCAGAGTGACCCGCTGACTGTTGGCTCCGGTGCGAGGGAAGCTCACGGCCACGCCACCGTACTCTTCGGCCAGCTCCCGCAGCACCTGGCCTCTCCGACACACAAAGTGGCGGTGGTGGCGAACGTCCACGACCATGCTGTCCTCCACCACGTCGTCCTGGAGAAGGAGGGAACAGAAAGGTGGTAACTAAGAAAGAGGATGTTTAAGAATAAATGACACTGAAGATTTAGAGGTTTCATGGTGTCCTTCAGGTGACCTCTACCTCTTCTTTCCTTGTGATTTGCCTCTGTTCAATCAGCTTTGAATGGACGTACTCAGTATGCAAAGTAATTCGGAACAAAGCACATGCAGTGTATAATTACCAGGTTTTTGACCAGACTTTCCAGCTCCTTCTGAGCCTGACGAACGGCTTCCTCTTTCCCCACGATGGTGATCAGTTCCTGCTCTGTGTCATCCGGCGACGGGAAGATGATTCGAGCCCCCGTTTTGTCCCGCACACGGCGGATATTTGCCCCGCCACGGCCAATCAAGAATTTATGGTATTCTGGTTTTGCCTGCAGCTCAGCTGTAAAGTTGTTGACTTGCTGAAAACGGCGGGAAGGAAAGAGGACAGGAAAAGGATGTAAGTATTTGCCCTCTCCTTCCCTTCTCTTTATAGTAACTCACTTCATTTTGAGACACCTCTTCTGTTCATTCTCTCTTTGTATCAACCATTCTTCATGGTTCTTTGTCCTCTCCCACCAACCTTTTCCTCAGCCAGCTGCAGCAGCTGTTTCTTGGCTTTCTCCACCTCTCCAGCAGGCCCTCTGATGGTGACCTTGTCCGAGCCGGAGCCCTCGGAGGGGAAATGGATGTGGACGCCGCCGCAGTCTTCCATGATGGAGCGCACGAGGCAGCCTTTGGAGCCGATCAGAGAGTTGTGCAGTTTGGCCGGGATGGTGACCTCTGTCTCCTTGATGTTGGCCTGGCGGGATGAAGAGAGACAGATAAAGATTGTGAGTTTAATAGACTGTGCAGTTACATGAAGAATATTCTAGGGGTCAAAACATTCTCCAGCACTTTGTCAATACTTCTTCAATATAATAAATATAGAAAGAGTGGAGAGATGACAGAAGAAGAGGCATAAAAAGTCATAGTATAGTAAGGCATAAAAAAGCAGCACAAATGACATCAGCAGTCTCTGACGTCTCACCAGTTCTCTCTGGATGGCGAGGATTCGGTCTCTGGCCGCCTCACAGTTGCTCTTCTTGCCTGTGATGACGATCATCTCTGAGTTACTGTTCTCTGTCGGGAGGTCGATCTTAGTGTTGGTCTCTTCACGGATCTGGTGGCATAAACAGCATGTGTTAATTTCAGTCTTTAACATCATGTCATAGTATAGTAAGGCATAAAAAAGTAGTATATGTAAATGTAAAGTATATGTATGTGTGTGTATATATATATATATATATATATATATGTGTGTGTATATGATCCATCTGAGTGTTAAATGACCACACAAGTTTTGAGTGTCTATAATTTTAAGTGGGTTTTGTCAAGTTCTCAAAGACCACTTCAAAGTCTCACCTTTTTAATGTTGGCCCCGCCCTTACCAATTATGTTTTTGTGAAACTGCTTGAAGATGGGAACAGAGAGCGAGAAGCTGTTCTCAATCTGCAAAAGAAAGGAAGCTGCTGTTAAGTCAAGAGCAGAGAGGGTGAGACAGGCAGACAGACGATGACGGACAATGGTGGGTCGTACCAGGTCGGCAATGATTTTCTGGAGGAACTTGGCACATTTCTCCACCTCGTTCTTCGGCCCTCTTAGCTGGACGATGTCACTCTTCTGCGACGGGTCAGGGAAGTTAATAATGACCTAGAGGTGGATGAGATAGTACTCCGCAAATTAAATTACTCATTATTTTATTATTTGTGATGAACCGACGAGATAAAGTGCAGGAAGGGTCAGAACATTCACCTCAGGGAACTTGTCTCGAACTTCTTTGATCTTTTCTCCCTTCTGGCCGATGATTGTCCGATGGAACCTCTGCTCCACGATCAGGTCTTTGGTGCGTTCGTTTTCCTGGAAACAGGAAGATAAGTAATGACTCTATAATAGGTTCTATACATGCACCTAAACTTTGAACCCATTCTCACCATTCTCTGGACCATCTCGATGAGTTCTCTGCGTGCCAGCTGGACTCCTTTAGGGTCTCCTTCGATCCGGACCAGGCCGCTTCGCTCGGAGTCCTGAGGGATTCGTACTGACACTTTGTACTGCTCCTTGATCCGATTGACTGCAGGGAGGAGGGGGGAGAAGGGAGCAGGAAGACAAGGACGGTGAAGAAATGAAGAGGAGGGAAGGGGTCCATTCTCAAAGAAATGCCACATCTCTGGAGAATCAAACACCAACCTCCTGTAGGTTTGAAACATGGCTGTAAAAACACTGTAGGTTCGTATTTCACAACGAACATTTGTTGCGCTCCAATTCATTTAGTACGGTTAAAAATGAAACCAATACTGGCCACTTTTCCTAGTGGGAAAAAAATATCAAAACGTTCAAAAAAAACTTGTCACACCACCCCTGCATCGTAATCCATTTCCCCCCTTCACACAGTGAAAACTTTTCACTGCTAGAGTTCATTTTAAAGTTTTCTCTGCCGCGAAACGTGGTTTCTTGCCGGGAGCAGGTGGTGGTGATTGTCACTTGACAAGAGCTTCGGCCATGGCTGTCTTTATTATACAAGAGGTTATAATTCGCCCTCTGAGCAGCACTGCGTCTTCCGGGCAGATTGGAGGCTACAGTGAGTCGCCGTCGGAAAGTGACAAGACGGGTTGGGGCTAGCTGGTTAGCGTGCTAACTTCAGTAGAAGAAAAGACGTGACAGAGACATTTGATGTTTGATGCTGGCTATGCAGCAATACCAAAACTTACAAATACTCTAGCTCCTTTAAGTGACATGAACTGAGACGCTCCACAGCCGCTGTGCTCCATGACAGCTGAACTTTTTACAGCTACTTTTCAACTATTACAGTCAATTACTAATTATTACTTGTCTGAAGAGAGCACAAGAAAGCAGTAAATAAACTGATGTGTGTGATGTGTTTACTGTTTAATAACATACAATGAATTTGGTGGATGTTTTCACCGAGGCGCCTCATCCTACCTTAAAGTTCACATATTTAAAAATGGCTGCTCCCACTGACATTCAAACACTTAACCCCAGCTCAGGAGGCGTCCCAGATTTTTTTCTGTTGACATTCTCAGAACAAAAGTTCACTCACTGTTGACTCCGTTCTTTCCGATGAGGTGTCTGTGGAAACGCTGGTCTATGATGACCTCAGTGTAGTCCATCCTCACCAGCTGAACAAAGAGGGAGATGTAAGATTGGTCACTGAAGTTGTACATAGTGCTGAATCCTGTGTGTGTGTTTGTGTGTGTGTGTGTGAGTGTACTGACCAGGTCTTTGATGATCTCCTGTATCTGGGCCTGAGCCTGCTCTACCTCCTCTGTTGGCCCCTCCAGACTGATGCGCTCCTCACCGTCCGTAAACTCGATGTGAACCTACACACACACACACACACACACACACACCCACACACACACACACACACACCCACACACACACACACACACACACACACACACACACACACACACACACACACACACACACAGGCGACCCGATCAGAGAGCTATTTCTCCCGCCCCGCCTTGTGTCGATCCTCCTCAGTGTCACCATTAATTACAAACACATCTTCAGTCCATGTTACAAGTTAAAGTACCCCCCCCATTTTACAAGATACAGGATCCCCCACGCTGCCTGCCTGCCACTCCTGTCACATTGCAGGAGCACCCCCCCTCCCCTCCCCTCTCCCGCTCTCCCCTTACCCGGGGTAGCTGCTGTGTGATCCGTCCGATGTTCTGTCCCTTCTTGCCGATGATGAAGCGATGCAGCCAGGCCGGAGCGGTCACCTCCACCACCATCACGCTCTTAGCCTGCAGCGAGACCAAGAAATAATGTGCATCCACAAACTGACAATTATGTAAATGTATTATGTACAAGCTTTCCCTGCTTTTCAACTACTTTGATTTCTCCGTCCAAGTCACACTCTCCTCCTCACCTTGGCGTAGACCTGTGTGAGTGCTGGTCCCAGCTTGTCAGGCTCCCCCCTGAGGATGATGGTCTCTGAGCCGGAGTCCAGAGGGGGCATCTCCACAGACACCCCCGTGGCCTCCAGGATCTCCTGCAGGGTGTTGCCCTTTGGCCCTATGATGTACTTATGCTGAGACTTCTTCACCTCTACAGAGATGGTGGTGGTCTTCCTCTTCTGCAGGGTGGGCAAGGACAAGATCGTAAATCATGAGCAGCATGGAAAAAATACATCCACGGTAAGAGGAAGTGCGGCTGGAGGAAGTGGCGAAAATGAGGGATGGATGAGAGCACAACGGGAGACAGAAAGAGAAATGAAAGACAGGAAACAGGAAGGACGGAGCAGAGAGAGGCTGGAGTGAACAGAGGGAAAAGGTGGATTTAGAAGTAGAAAGACAAAGGGAAATAAACGATGAGCAGAGCGGGAGAGGAGAGAGACAGAAAGTGATTGAAAGCAAGAAGGCAGCGGAGAAAATTTATTTGTTTTTGCCTCTCATACATATGCACTAAATCAAATCAGCATTCTCATCCTGTTGTTCTCTGGCGAAATCCAATTTTCTCTCCACATTATCTCCGGCTTGCCTATCGCCGCCGCTCATCTGGTACACACACACAAACACACACACTTCCTCTCCGCATTTCATCTGTCCATCTTTTGTAGTTTCTCGTGACGGCAATAACAGGTTGTCTCACTGCACCAAAGAGGTTTCGTTGCACTTGAGGTTTTTAGATCTCAGCAGCACAGTGAACAAGTGGTGAAAGTGAGACTGTGGTGAACCACAAAGTTAATATCTGCAGTCACAGAAACTGAGCCACAACCTGCTCGCTCGCAGCAAGTCTTTCTGGGTAATAGCGCACAAACCTGAATGTCTGAAATGTCAATGCAAGTGTAGCAGGGACTAAAAGTTTGCATGAATTACTGAGCAAATCACAAAACGTCTTGAATTTGGTGTTTAGTTTTGCTCATTGTTTCCCTTTTGTTTTTCTTTCTTTTTCCTTTTTCTATGTTTCTATTGATATTTATGTGCATTTTTAATTTAGAACACTTTGAAATTTTGATGAAAATGACAAAAAAAAAAAAATATTCAAAAATAATCACCAGCAGTGATAGAATGAAAATATTAAAAAAAAAACCCCAACAGGAAAAAAAAAAAAATAAAAAAAAAAAAAAAAAAAAAAAGAATTTGAGAAGAAATAACAGAAAAAACAAACAACAAACATTATTTCGGTGACACATCATAAATTATAGTTAGGTAAATTAAGTTTTTAAAGATTATTTTGGCTTCTTTAGCTTCTTAAGGCGCCAGGTTAAGTTAGTTATAATTGGGGTTATATGATCTCTGTCCTTCCTGAACAAACCTTGTCGTCGTAGATGGCTCGAATGCGGTTGACTGCCAGGGCGACAGCCTCCTTCTCCCCGGTGATGACGATCTCGTCCTTGGGCAAGCTGGGCGGAGGGATGCTGATGCGGGCGCCCGTCTCCTGGCTCAGCTCCTGCACCAGCCGGTTGTGGGCACCGGCGATGAAGGGGTGGAAGGCCTTCTCCAGGGACAGACGCTCCACCGCACGCTTGTCCTGGGGAGTGGGGAGGAGGAAGAGGAGGAGGAGGAAGAAGAGGAGGAAGAGGAGGAAGAGGAGGGGGAGGGTGGGGGGAGTCGGCAAACAAGAGTTGAACAAATGGCAGAATTTGTTAATATTGGTTTTCATAGATACTAAGGTGACTTTCATTATAGAGCCACATACAATATCAAGAAGTAATTCAATATTTGATCAGTAAAGTTAATTAGTATCTAAAAAGAGACAGTTTCAGTCTTAATGGCTCCTCATGACAGAATCAAAAATACCTGATGACAAGGTCGTATTCTTATTTATTTACTCTTTACTCCAATGCAACCTCAGACAAACTTCAACCACTTCTGTTTTTAGCTCTACATTTTTTTTTAATTTACGCTAACCTGCTCAGCAGAGATGAGAAGGATCTCGTGGCGAGCCTTCTCGATGCCCTCCTTGGTGCCGGTGATGCGGATGTTGGCGCTGGGGTCGTCAGGACGTGGAATAGCGATCTTGGTGGCCGTCTTCAGCTCCAGCTCCTGCAGCTTCTCACCGTTCTTACCGATGACGAAACGATGGTGCTCCTTGGGGATGGCGACCGTAGCTGAGGCCTGGGGACGTGTGAGGGAGAACGTGAGCTAGGTTTGTCGTCTTACGCGGCGGAAACAGGCGGTGAAACAATGAATGAGCGCTTACTGTCTCGCCTGGACTGATTTTATTAGCATTATATAAATCTCTTTTAATAAAGTTAAGGTTCAGACGTATCCATAAAAACCTCAATTGCTGATAAAGCAGCCTCAGATTCTTGAGAAATGAAACACGTGAGTTTTCATGTGAAGTGCTCACTCGGTGGGTGAACACATACAGACGCATTCGACTTTGCGAAGAGGACAGAGTGTTTTTCTGAGCTATTGTATCAATAACTGCAGCTCAGCTAAACTGTTGGACCTCAGTGCACCAATTGAAGTGGAAATCAGCATGTTTGCTGCTGAAGCCCGGAAAGGCCACCCTTGGGAGCTGACGGTCAATTTTCAGCTCAACTTTTTGTCCTAAACTGGCCTGACTGCACAGTAAGTAGTTTTCTATCTGCAGTTAACACTAACTATCCTTGTGTAACTTAGGACTGAGTTATCTCCTAGCTGATGAGGTCCAAGATACGACAATGTCATATCTCTATAAATACAAATTGTTCAACACATTGCTTGTACCAATATATACGTTTATTATATGTAGGTACAAAATGCTGAACTAGGCTTTTCCAAGATGTTACAGTACTTTCTTTCGTGGTGATAATCTCACAGCTGACTACAACTGTAAAACAAAGCTTACCAAGTAATATCACAACTTTAAACCAAAGTAGCCAGGCGCTGATATCCATCTGTTTTATTTAACCGAGTTAAGTTTTCTGAGCGTGTACTTTCTGCATTTTTTGGTGGTGTCAAATTGCATTCTGATATTATAATGAGATGTGCTGTGCTTATGTAAGCAAAAAGAGCTTTTTCAGTGGATCCTGTCAAGAAAACACTCCTGCCATGCACTCAGCAGTCAGCACTCAGCACCCCACACTTTAGGCATTTAACATAATATAAGCACGAGGAAAATATAGTAAACGTACCTGTGTCTGCAGGCGAGCCACAATTTCCTTGCGAGCCTTCATGACAGAGTCCAGTTTGCCCGTGACCATGATGGACAGGCCCTGGTCTTTAGCCAGGGACAGCTCGATGTGAGCCCCCGTCCTCTGCATGATGTCCAGGCACACTTTGGCCTCCTCGCCCTCCCCAAACTGGCTGTTGTCCTTGTAGCGACGCTCCTCCAGGGGCACGTGGAACACCTGGGGGGGACAGGGCAGGTTGGAGGGAAGGAGAGGCGAAGTTCAAATTTCAGACAACAAGTCTCTCTTGCTTATTTTCCCAGAACAGGTGCAATTTATTGAGCAGCTTTACTGGCACTAAAATGGCTTGGGGCAAAATGTTATTGTTATTGTCAGGAAAATAATTTCATTCTTTCTGCACAGATAGACAGTTTGCAAATCAGAAACTGGCTGCAGGCCATGCAAACTTTTCTTCTTTCTTCAGTGTGTATGTGCATTCACCTGTAACATTTGTACATGTATACTTTTAAACGTAGGTGTGTCCCTTTATGTATGTAGTCAGAGGCTGTTTGACCTGGGTGATGACAGAGGCTTTGATGGGCCTGATCTTGCTGCCCCATGCTGAAGCCGGCTCCCCGGCCTTTTCCCCTGGTGCTCCCTTCTCCGGCAGCGGAGGGAAGGCCTCCAGGTAAGTGGGGATGTAGGCCTCATCCTCTGGGACACAGCCTGGCCCGGAGAAACGAAGGTAAAAAAGGGAAGGATGGAGAAAGAAAACAGTATTCATGTATTGATGAATACAAGGAGATCCAAAAGAAAAGAGAGACACCATTAACTATATTCCAAAATCATATTTATCTAAGAAAGAAAGCATTGAAAAAGTATCACATACACATACAGTAAACAGAAACTGCACTGCACATACATAAAGGCAAGTAGGAAAAAAACTAAATTGGTGTCTCTTGGGCTGATAGGTGGATAACTAGTCTGAAAACCCTCAGGAACAAAAGTAAAAATAGATGACAGGTCACCTGTAATCTCCTGGTCCTTGAGGCCACTGCGATGCTCCGCAAAGCTCTCCGGGGTCAACACTGCCACTGAGCTCATGGTTTAAGACTTATTCCGCTATTCCACTAAAGGTGGAGAAGGATGAAGTGCAAAAATATGAATAAATCAAACGCTATAATCTCTGAGGAGGAAGTTACTTGCTGTATGTGCACAAAATTTCACATTAATTAAATACTGACTGGATGATCCAACAGCAAAAAAGCCATCAGATATACAGACAGAAGCTTATTCAAAGCTGTCTCTATTATGTTCTTCTTCCCTCCCTTGAATGCACTGTTTCATATTCAGTGGATTTGCTTTCCACAAGCCCCAGAAGATTGAGGTGGCCTCTGTGGCATCGCTACAGTGCACCGATGCAGCACCCTACACCTGAGGTGTGCTCCAATTAGCACTTTACAAGCCTCAGACAAACACACGGTGATACAAAGCCTCTGGGACAGGGTTATCACAAGTCACACTCAAAGAGTCGTCCTGGACCAGAAAACAACTGCTGCTCACATTCCTTGTGATGCGGAATCACAGGATCCTCACTTACATTACTACAGCGGGTCAAACAAGCCTTCCCTGAGCGTTTTAAGGAAGAAAACCAAAAACTAAATCTGCTGATCTTTGCACTGCTCTACTGACTGTCAGACCAATTTCATGAACACAAAGACGGCCTTGTGATTTAGGGAGAATATTGCATTTTCATGGCTACTAACTGCTAGCACAGCAATAAAAAAACAAACAAACAACTGAATGCTTAAAAGCACGCATCTACAAGATCCTGTGCTCCAATTAACAGTTGATGAAGGAAATCAAGTGTCATCTCTTATATCTCTCACTTGTTTTTCTGGTCTGGTTCAGGAAATTCTCACTTTTATTTAACTTTGTTGCTTTACAGCCAAGATGTTTTTCTCATTCATAAACAGGCATGCAAATTCATCTGTGGATCTGCTGTGTGATGCTTCTGGCTGAGCACAAAAGTGACTTTGTGTTATTATCTAAAATCTGTGAAATGTCCCGGTAGGCCTGTTTCTCCTGAAATGTTACTATTTTCTCCCAATGTGTATTCAGATCATAAGTGGCATGTGAAATTTGTTCTTGTCGGTAAAGACTCTGCCCAAGCCCTTCTAAAAGAGAAATAACTGCAGCACAAAAAAGAACAAGACACTCCTCAAGGAATAGAACACAAACATACAATATACAGTAACACTGAGCTCAAGCAGAAGAAGCTTAGTCTAACTACACTGCACAAAGTGAGTCCATGCTTACCTGCAAAAGGTCAATTGCCAGAGAGTCCGTCCAGTTATCGGCTACCGTAGTCGCTTCAGTGTGAGTGTGTTTTTCAGCTCCTGGATGCACAACAGGAAAAAGAATTTTACTAAAAGTGAACACTGTAAATCAAACAGCTGTACAGCTCAGATCCTGGGTTAATACTGTAAACACCCACACTGCACTGCACCTTATACTGTCTCCATCTGATTCACTCTCCTCCTGTTCTCTCCCCTCCCTTCTCCGTATCTCTCCGTCCCCCCTTTACAGTTTCACAAATTCAATTCAATTTCAGTGTGTGAGCAAATGTGACCACATGATGTGACTTTTTACTGTTTGGTGAATAAAAAATTTTTTTCAACCAATATTTTGTAAATTCAGCCCCTGGTGTCTTACACTTGGTTTTACGGAGGGGGGGGGGGGGGGGTCGCTTAACTCCGCAGCACTTCGTTGGTCAGACATCACGAACTCATGCTGCGCAGCCAACGACAGAAATTTAGTTTAAATTGTAGTGGAGTGCCTACAAAAATATGGGAAAAATACGTATAAAAATAATCTTCAAGAAATGTAGAATATTTCTATTTGGTGCAACAGTGCAGCCATAAAAAACGTGATGTCTTGGGTTTGAATATATCACTCATTTAGCTTCAGTGAGGAGGTGGAACAAGCTGATATGTGTTACTGTCAGACAGTGTGAAAAAGGCCATTTAAATAGTCTTAAAGCTGCTTAAGTGGAAACAAAGGAGTAAAAAGGTATGTTAAGAGCAGTGGTGGAATATAATTAGCACATTTACTAAGTGCTATACAGGCATTTCCACATAAAGCTACTTTAGACTTCCACATCACTATATTTCAGGGGCAAATATAAGAACTTTTTACTCCATCTATATCCCCATCTACATTTATATGACAGCTACTTACTATGCAGGAGAGGACTGTGCATACAGAATCCCTTAAGACCTTACAGAATATGGTGCTCACAGATCATACAAAAATAGTTACTAAAATTAGCCACACCTAATCCTAATACAACAGTAAAAGGCTAATTCCACATTTCACTCTAGTAATAATTAATGCAACTACAAGGTAATGTAACTTCTACATAACATGTGCTTTTACTTTTGACACTTTGAGTACATTTTACTGTAATTACTAATGTAGTTTTACAAAATAAATGATTTTTATGCATGTTTTGTTAATTGTTATGGATGTTTAGGCTGTGGTTTTGCTACTTTTACTTATAATGGATCTCAATTCCTCTTCCACCAATGAGTAACTACAGTCGCAAGTCTGCTATTGTAGAGCAACATCTTCTACCACAATATTAGTTCGCTAATAATCACACTGAAATTCAAGCGAGAAACTTGAAAGAAACAAAGAGCGCTTGGCACACTGCAACACAGTCCAACGCTAACTTGGCAGCGACTGTGCCTTTCAGTATCAGTGTACCAGTTCCCTAAAGATAAATAAGAAATATAGACGGCGACATTAATTCAGCCGTGCACGGTGCTGGCTAAGGACCCCGCTAAACGCACCTCTCTCTGGCAGACCACCGTCTTTTATTGCTAGCTTGAGGATGCGCTGCATGGCTGGTCCTGTTAGCTCGAAGGCTATGTTATCCTATGCTAACGCTGGCGAATACAAGCCAAGGGTTTCAAATATTCGTTAGCCGTGTTCGCTAAGCTAACACACACCACTAGGCTCCGACCTCAGCCGGGGATGATTAGGCGCAAGGACTTTCTGATAATCGGCTAAAAAAAACAAGCCGGGCGGGCAGATAACCAGCTCCAGCTCGCTAGCTCCGGGGGCGCTACCCTTGCTAACCCTGGCTGCTTGTCGTTACAGTCGAACACGCTTTCTCACCACCGTGCCAAAGAGTCTTCCTCCACTGTGTACACATTTAGATAAAAGGGGAAATAAAACAAATAGAAGAATCCTACCTTTCAGAGAGAAAATATAGCAGAGGGTGTGTGTTTGACAGGTGATGGTGTAAACACAGATGTGATTGGTCTAGGAGCATTTCCTCTGCCGGCGGAGCGATACAAGCATGCACTGTGACTCACCGAGTATAAAGCAAATGCCGCAGTATCTTTGCGCAACAGGAACATCCAAATCAAATAGGTCTACGTTGTATTTATCTCATTTGGCTCGCTCTACCGTTTCATTCAGGTGGAAAAGACTCAGGTGTGGTGTGCTGACTGGTAATTGATAAATTAAAGAACGTCTGAGGTTATCGGGCCTTGTAACGTCTCACGAGCATCAAACTGACCGGGTCTACTTCTCATTCATGATGGCCTGGTCTGCTCTGCGGGAGTCAGAGCATCACACTTCTCCTAAACCCAGTTTCACCAAGAAAGAAAAAAAAATGATAATGTATGCATGATGGCAATAAAAGTACTATGACAAACAAAAAGTATGCTATAAAGTCATACATGTGAGTCACAAAGTCATTTTATTTTTAGATTGTAAGTGAAAATTATAAGATAGGTACAAATTATGATGTTTTGACTCAGTAAGTCAATAATGATCTAATATCTAACTACGAATTATTTTGACCTTGTAAGTTAATAACTATCTAATAAATGTGACTTCGGAGGTCAAAACTATTAGACAGTCGTAAGTCAAACAGACAAGAGAGTCAGCATTTTGAGTCACATACTAAAAGTGATGAGGTTGTAGGTTAAAATAGCGATATAATGTAGGCTTCACAGGATACAGATGTGCAGAACAATGAAAACTTTGTGCCAACATTTACAAACACAAACATTTTTTTAACTTCTCATATGGTAGTGAAAACAATAAAACATATAAAATAAACAGTAATTACTGAATAATAATGTTTCTCCATTAACAAACACTTAATGTCTGTTCCCCACTGAGACACTAGGTGGAAGTAGGATGCAAAAGTAAAATACAGAGGTGAGCGGAGGGACATACACAGTAGACAAGCACCTCCTTCTGTGCACCTGTTGAGGAATGTAATCTAGTATATAGAAGTGGGTCAATATAGCTGCTGTATACTGATATTCATTTTCAAGCAGTGATCACCATATTATGCCATAGTATATATGCTATATGCCACTGCTTCATAAACAATAGTTCAGTGTTTAATAGCGAAACAAGCAAGGACTTTACTGTAAGTATGCTTGTGTAACATTAACCATAAAATACACATATATTTAGAGTTTTAATATGAGTTTCTGGGGTATTAGTAGAATGAGAGCAAAGAAGTTTTTGAAGTTTACAATAAAAAGTCGGAAATTGCCAAGATTTTGACAATTTGTCCTTCAAAATAAGAGTCATAGAATAATAGGATACAAATACATTATCATACGAGAATAAAAGGGCCTATCATGCGAGAAAAGAAAAGAAAAGAAAAGAAAAGACATATAGATTCATAGCGAAGGATTAGCTGTTTTTATAGTATATTATATATCATAGAGAATACCTTATATGTTTTCTGATTGCCAAGATTTTGTAGTGTCCTTCAACTAAGCTCAACTTCAGCTCTACTTTAACTTTATTGTCCCTGAGAGCAAATGCAGAACACAAACAAACCTTTATATTAAACATAATTAAATTCATAAAGCATATAATAAAATACATTCGCTAAAATCCATTACACAAATTAATTTTTATAGAATGCACATCATTCATATCGGTAGCTGACTCATCAGGAGCATTCAAACATGATTTCCTTGAGTCATGTAAAGTTACAGTTATAAAATAAATGGATTGTTGCTTGTGTGTATGTTCAAGATCTACAGCTTTCATTTGTCAGACACTAAGCAAAAGATCAATGCTGAGACTTCATGCTTTACTTTTCTATTTTCGTTTCTGTACACACCATGTTTTAAATCAGTCTTTTATTTTGAAATTAGGTACCGGGACCTCCTAACATTACTGTGTGTGACTTGGCGGTTACAGCCCTCAGGGGGGGTTGTTGCACTCCTACCTCCCTTTCCTCCCCTCTCATACATGCTGCGGGTAACAAAGAGGAGACAACAACAGGGGGATGATGGGTGCTCAGACAACAACCCTGTCAGAGAAACAATAAGAAACTGACCCGGTGTGTTTTTACGAATTGGATCATTTTAACAGCATATTTAAGTTTGACGTGCACTAACGTAGCTGCGCCCCGGACCGATTTTAACCTAAAGCTTGTTCTCTTGGAAAAGCTAATACAGTTCGCTGGACTGCCAACACTAGAGCCGAATGACTGAAGAGACACATTCAGACATGTCTGAGTAATATTGGTGAGTTTTCTTCTCCTGTAATTTATATTTTAGGTAAAAGTAGTTCATTATTCGTAGTTCACCAAGAGCAGTTTGGTGACTTTGGCGGTTGAGACTGAAAGCACCTGTTCCCTTATGGAAAACCGCTGAAACACTTGCGAATGGTTTTATAAAATTATAGTGACATCGTTATATTGTAAAGTGAAATTGTATCCCTCTGCCATCAGTCCAGCATTTTCTGTCGTGTCATGTTTGGCCTTATTTGCCCATTCTTTTCCCATTTCACCGACTAAGACATATAGTAACGATTAAGGGATAAAAATAAGACTATTATAGGCAAAAGTTGATTTTGAACATTTTATGAATAGCCTGTCCATGACACTTAATTCATCTTGATTGTGAATATTTATATTGGAAAACGCGTTTATTATCACTAAAATTGACGTAGAGCAGGCTCGACCACTATTGGCAGATTATGGGTGTCTTAAAGTTGTGATATTTCCCTTCAGCACAGTCTCATAAGACCTAAACACCATATTTACATTTACATATTTATGCCAAAGCTTTTCTTGTACTACTCATATCACCAAACCAACCCTAGATCCTCATGTTTTTTTTTCTCCCCCCTAGTGTGAATGTGTGTATGTTTTCCTTTTTTTTCCGACACACCTTTTTCCGTCCCTCTTCCTGGCCAACGTGGAGCTTACAGGCACATCACATGCACTATGTTGGTTGATGCTAGTCAGGCAGAGAGTAGCTCTCTTAAAGCCCCCTACCCATTTTATATACACACTGACCCATTAGTCACCAGAGCAGATGGCATACTGTATACACTCACACACACACACACACACACACACACACACACACACACACAGCATTGTGTTAATGGACGTCCTCTTTAAGCACTTAAGGATTGTTCTCAAGCTGGTCTGATTTAAGGGATCACACCATATCTGATATGTATTGGATTTACCAGGACAAATACACTTACTGGAATGAATGACTGGCCCACTGACCCAGCCTGAGTGTGTCAAGTCCAGTAGACTGGAGGATGCAGCTATTGAACTAACCAGGTCGAAAAAGCAAAAGGAGACAAATGGCTTGATGTCTGGTGGGGGCTGACTGAAAGAAAGTCTGGGGGGGGGGGGGGGGGGGGGGGTGTAACCTCAAGTGTACTCTGAGTGCGTTAACACACATATGAGAACGTGAGATCCCCAATGTCTAGATGAGTGCTTTGTGAGCGAACACACCCTCGTAGAGTCGAGGTTTGTATGTCACCCTGTGGACAATGAGTATAACCAGAGGGCCAAAACTGAAACCTTGAAGAAACTATATTACACCCCAAGACACACACACACCCATACACATACTTTGTTGTAGTATGTCATGGTTCTGAAAAATGTCTCTCGGATTGGGGAAACAGAAAACTTAGAAAAAAAGAAGTGTCAGAAAACGAAAGGCTGTACAGGTAGATGGTGCATTGCTTTTTAATTAATCTCCTCATGTCTTTATGGCATGCATTTCCTGCTTTGTTGTGTTGTAACTATTTTATACACGGCTGTTTGTCAGCCCAGAAACATGTTTCGGTCAGACTGAAACATGAAACCTCATCTGTCTCTTTATTATAAGCTCAGTGACTGTGCAGCATGCACATCCCCTACAGACTGGTCTGACTAGCTGGTGCACTTTGTCAGTTACAAGCAGTTACTGGTTTTGTGTTTTTCACTTTAGGAGGTTGTGTGGAAAAAGACTTTCAGGTTAAGAACCCATCATAGTAGATTACTATCGGTGATGCCTTTGTGTACCTGCTGGTATTACGCAGGTAAACAAGGGTGTGATTAATTTCTTAAAAATCTTCTCTGGTCTGGTCACTACTTGATATATGAAATTACAGGCATTTTCAAATGAAATGACAGGCCTCTAATCTTTCATAGAGCAACAGACCACTTTGTGATTGTCTCATTAAAGGGTACTCTGTGGATTTAAATTTGCTCTTCCATAAAGTTAAGGGACTTGTGAGGGACAGATTAAAAAAAGTAAAGGTTAAAATCAAAGCAGCGGAGGCAGCCTCTGGTTTGCTTCAAAAACACTGGATACTACATTTCCCATAATGCATTTCAATAGCATCTTCCATTGGACCTTACCTACTTGGTAAAAGCCCACATCACAACTCTAGTTTGAATCACAGACTTTCTGATGACGATTTATGCGAGCCCAAACTGAGATGACCCCGATGACATCATCAGGGTTATTTGATGACATCATCAGGGTTATTGTCTCATACTCTTGAAAATTTCTTGCAGTACCACAGAAAACATTATACAACCGTTGTCCCGTTGACCCTTGTGACGAGTTAACTGAACTCCATCTGTAAAAATTGGTGGAGTGTCCCTTTAAGATTCCGGCAAAGAACATGTTTCATTCACATAATGCCAGAAAACAATCTCCGTACGGTAAACCTGTAACACTAAAACATCTACGGTACCTGAAAAACATAAATGATATATTATAAACAGTCATGCACACATGCATATTCTGCACAGTAACATATTATATTACCCATTCAGCATTTATTCAAACACTATTTGCCCTCTGCACCCTCTCACTTTTTTAATCTTGTTTACAACTTATACACATTGTGCTGTATGCTGCAGCTTGTTATATATATTTATAAAGGCATCTATTTTTTCACCTACTTGCGTGTACATAATATTTAAATGTTTAAGTTTACCTATCTTCAT